GCGGCACGGCCCGGCCCGGCAGTCCGGGGGAGAGGGCTCAGCGTGTGGGGGAGAGGGGAGGGGTGGGGGGGGGGCGGAGGAGGAGGGGGAGGATGAGAGGGAGGAGGAGGGGGAGGAGGAGAGGGAGGAGGAGGAGGAGGAGGAAGAGGAGAAGAGAGAATAAGAAAACACGTAATACTAGTACTACTAGTAACAACAACAATACTAATAATGAGACTAATACGAATATAACGATTCGTAAGTACATTACTAATGCTAACATTATTAATAATGGTGATACTTCGGAGAATAATAAGAGTACGAATGCTACTACTACTAATAATACGAATAGTAAGCAACGTACTCGTAATAATACGAATGAGAATGGTATACGTCTAATTATAGTAAAACGAAACCAGATAATAATAATGATACGAATACTAGCACTAATAAGTATAAGAAGAGGAAGAGGAAGAGGGGGAGGAGGCGGATAACGAGGAGGAGGACGAGGAGGTCGCCCCCTTCCCCCTTGGGCCCCTGGGACCCCCCCCCCTCCCGCTTCTGGTGGCGCCGCCTGACGGGCTGAGCGTGTGGGGGAGGGGTGGGATTCCGCAAAACGCGTGGTATGCCCCGGTGTGTGTGTGTGAGAGAGAGAGAGAGAGAGAGAGATTAGTTTTTTGCACCGAACCGCCCAGAACAGATGCCCCCCAGCCGCGGGCAGCTCCCGATAGTTGCCGATACGGTGGGCATGCGGGGACATTTGTTTGCGGCAGTTCGGTGCACTAACAGATCGAACTCACGCCCCCCCTCAGGGTCAACACCCCTTTGGTGGATCCCGGGAGGGGTGGGGCGGGGAGGGGGGGGGCGGAGCGGGAAGGGAAGGGGATGGGAGGGACGGCGGAGTGGAAAGGGATGGAGAGGGCGGGAGGGAGAGGAGGAGGGGGAGGGGGAGGGCGAGGGGAGGGGCAGGCGGAAGAGAACAACGGGCAGGGGAGGTGGAACAAAAGGGGAAGGGAGGAAAGGACCGCGCAGCGGGCGGACGGAGGAGGTAGACAGCGAGGCCAGGGAGGAGCAACGGATGAGGAGGAGGAGGAGGAGGAGGAGGAGGAGGACCAGCGTAAACCCAAGAGTCATCAACGATGTTGGCACACACCCTCCCTCCAAGCTTTTCTTGCATGGGCCCCCATAAGGCTTCATTTCCACTGAGGGAACTACCTTGCTGGAAGACAACCGTTTGAAGACCCCGAAGCATGCTAAAACATTGTTATCGGGACTCCAACGCCACGGACCAACCTGCCCGTTGCGTCTTGACGATCCTGAATCGTGCCAGATAGCCATTCTTGTGACTTCAACGCCGCGAATCAACGTAACTGTTGCACCCTCTGATCCTGAATCTCTCCTAAGCACAATTTCTTTACGCTGACCATGGGAATCCGTGGAACTCTTGCAACTAGAAAACGATAGTGCGCGGCGCTAAGGCGAGAGTCAGATGTTGAAAGGAACTACCCTCAATCCGTGGAGCTCTTACAATTGTTGAAAGCGAATGTGCGCGGCGCTGAGACGAGAGCCACATTTTGGAAGCGGGCCGCCCTCAATCCGTGAAACTCTCACAAATGTTTAACACGAATGTGTGCGGCGCTGGGGCGAGAACCACAATTTGACAACGACCCGCCCTCCATATGTGATATTGTTGCCAGTGTGTAAGCTTCAGGTCACACGTGGTGAAACGCCCGGCCCGCCCTGAAAATTGGCCTCGGGGTGTGACAGGGAGAGTTTATCTATAAGGAAAGGATCGGAGGAGGAGGCGGAGGAGGAGGAGAAGGAGGAGTAGGAGGAGAAGGAGGAGGAGGAGGAGGAGAAGGAGGCAAAGCAACGCCAAATGTTTGCAGTGCATGTCTGATCTAGGCTGCGTGCTCGGGTTTTTTGGAACAGGTTGCTGGATTGCTTCCCGTATTTCCCATAAGTTGGCACTACTATTTCAGGAGATATCGCGAAGATTGGGGAAGTTTGGATAGCTCGCGATGCTGATCAGGCGAGCAGAACCATTGATGTTTGAGACGGGCTTGGACGCCCATCATGCCCGAGACTGATGGCCCCCTGCGGAGTTTCAAGCTGCTAGCGCTGGTGGCCAAGCGAGCTATGGGGGTCCCACAGCAAACGCGCTGAAGCTCCAGAGCCGAACTCGGCGTTCGGGCCCAGTGAAGGCACTGGACTGGTTGAGGACTGGGTCGGAAGCGGGGCTCGCAGACATGAGCGGGACAGCAGCGGCTCCCCCCCGTTGCTTCTCGCAGTGCCTCCCTGCGCATCAGCGGGGAGCGCTTTCCAGATCCTGTCTGGACGAGGTTCAGGTCCTGATGGGGCGACTCCGAGGCCCCCCCCAGGAGTTTGCCAGAGTGTGCTCGGGCGCCTCCCCCGCACAGGGGCGCAGGGGGAAGTTTGAGCTGCACACGGGGAAGTTCGAAACAGCTCTCTGCAAATTAGTTCCCGTCTCCTCCAGGCAGGCGCCCCCCAGAAGTGGCAGCAGCTTCTCCCGCTTGCCCAAACCTGTCCTCCTCCCACGGGCTCCTGGATACCATGAGCTTGGCCGGCCGCACGCCTTGCGTCTCCCTTCGGCCCTGGGCCTGACCGAAACGTCTGGTGCAGGCAGCATTCTGCGAGACGCCTCAGGCCCGAAGAGATCCTGTTGGACGTAGTTCGGGAGTCGGGTCGCTCCAAGAGTTTGAGACGCAGCCTGCGCCCTACAGGGGCTGGCCTCGTCATCCCTGGTCATGCGAGCGGGCTGCACCTTCGATTGTTGGGGAATGACTCGAGTTTCTGGAAGGAGCGAAGCAGGTGTTCGATCACGCATAACGCGTTGACCACAGAAAACCAGAAGGGATTACAAGGATCAGGAGGATGAGGCGGGCAGGGTGGAAGCGCAGAAAAAGCGACAGCAGAAGCGGGAGACGGAGGAGGAGGAGGAGGAGGAGGAGGAGGAGGAGGAGGAGGAGGAGGAGGAGGAGGAGGAGCAGGAGCAGGAGCAGGAAGCAGGAGCAGGAGCAGGAGCAGGCAGGAGCAGGAGCAGGAGCAGCAGGAGCAGGAGCAGGAGGAGGAGGAGGAGGAGGAGGAGGAGGAGGAGGAGGAGGAGGAGGAGGAGTGAGAGGAGTGAGAGGACGAGGATGGTGGATTCTTCGCTCGCGCTGGTGTCGACGGCGCGGCCAGGTGGACAGCTGGACGCGTATGCGAGGCCGCTTGTGCTGGAGCGCTAGTGGAAGATTCGGGCGAGTTGATCTCAGAGGCGCAGGGGGGAAGAGGAGGAGGAGGAGGAGGAGGAAGAAGAGGAGGACAATGAGGAGGAGGCGGAGGAGGACGGGGAAGAGGAGGAGGAGGACTAGGAAGAAAAGGTCATGAAACTAATAATGATGATCATGATGCCTGGAGGAGGTGGAGGAGGAGGGAGAGAGGGAGAGAGAGAGAGAGAGCGAGAGAGGGAGAGAGAGAGAGAGAGAGAGAGAGAAACAAGAGAGAGCGAGAGAGACAAAACAAGAAAGAACGGTGAAGAAGAAAGATGGTGAACAAAGAGGAGGATTAGGAGGAGTTGGAGGAGGGCCCGTAGCCATTTGGGCTCTAGTTGCCAGCCACCGTCTTACTTGCGCTTCCTTCTATATTTGATGCACGCCCCGCACAATGCGCTCGCCTGATTATGCTTCTTGTTGCGTCGTTGCCGCCCGCCGCCGCAGGACCATCCGTTGATTTGCGTCGAGTGCGGCACATGGTCCTGCTAATTACCTGATGGTGTTACCGCTCGCTGCGCCCGCACGCCAGCAGAGATTCGGGCCCCCACGTTCATCATTGCAGTGAGGGTGCAAGAGATGCTGACCATCCACTGTGACCTCCCGTTTTATCGCTTGGCGCCGGCCCTGGACCGGGCGCGCGGCATCTTGCCTACCAGCCAGCACAAACGCCTCCGAACGCTCGAGTTGGTGTAGCGCACCCTATCGTCTGAGAACACGGTGCTCCTGAACGAGCTGGAAAGCCGCGCTGCCCGCTGCTCCCAAGCCCCTAGCTCCACTTCAGCACCTTCCTGATGCTGCTCGCCACCCCAGAAGTCGGCGACCTCTGCATTGTGATGCACTCGGGACCCGCCGCCACGGTTCAAGAATTACCAGCAGCAGGGGCTGAATATGCGCCCAGCGCACTGCGGAGGCCGCGGCGGCATGTCCCATGGCCCTGGACGAGGGTGACCTGGGCAGCCCCCCCCTGCAAATCGAAGAAAAAACGGCGTGCACATATCTTTTCGGCGCTCCGTGCGGATTTCTTGGATCCGCGCTGGGCCCCCCCCGGCGGAGCCCCTGGCGTCGCCCCTGGCGCGCTCCGCGCGCCAGGGAGGGGCGTCCGGCGCAGATCCAAGAAGTCCGCGCAGAGCGCCAAAAATTTATGTTCATGCTGTTTTTTCTCCTTCTAGTAAAACATGACGACGAGGGCGAGCCGCTGGGCCCCGAGGGCTGCCACCAGCCCGATATGCCCCCGTGCACCTCTGTCGGTGGCGGCCAGCCGTGGATCCTCCGGTGCGGAGACTGGCGGCGCCAGTGCGGCCTCAGCCTGGTCGCAGGTGCTTCTACGCGCTGGGCCGAAGCCTCTCCATTGCCAATGTGTAGAACGATTCGCCTCTGTAATATTCTGAAGCCTGTCAGCATGCTTCTCCTGCGTTTTTCCACACTGTCCTAAGTCGGGTTCTCGATTTCTCTGCTTCTACGCGGAACTCTGCCACGTCTGAGCGCTCCCCCCCCCCTCCTCCCCCGCGCGGCCGCCCTCGCCTTCTTTCCTTCCTCCTGCGCGCCGGACAGTCGCCTTTCGGTTGCCCCGATCAGCCTCACGCTGGTGCGGACTGCCTCTGCCTCGCCGCCGACGGAAAAACTTCGCAAGTGCCTCGGAGGCCTGGAAGTGCACGGACCACACAATCGCGCACCGCGCTTCGAAGCAGAGCGTCTCGCCTCGTGAGCAGGGGCGTTCTGAACGGCACCCATGGAGGGTTGAGGTGG